GAAGACTTCACATTGTGGGCACCACAGCAGAAAAGGCCCACTGCTAAAGCCCCCCAAATGTAACTCCTTAGGCAACGGAACCCATATCATGCCTTTTCTGCTGGATCTGATAGGTAGATTAAATCAGGAAGAGGTGCTTCCTCACAGAACCTAGTCCCATGTTTTGAAGGTCAACACAGCACTTTTAATTGGACCCAGTACAAACTGGCAACCAATACAGCTCATAAAGAAACATATCACCGCTTCCACCTCTGCATTTCACACTCACTGAAATTTCCGGATACTCATCAGAGAGAGGCAGCCCAAGGTAGAGTACTGTACATTGCAATAGTCACTGGGAAGTGACAGAGAACGAGTGACCATGAATGTAGGAATAGGTGTAACTGGCACATGATATGAACTTGTGGAAACTTGTGGAACCCCCAGATTGTTAATAGGGTCTATTTGGTCCAGTGCACACCTGTCTAGTACTAAAATGGTAAAGTCCCAAAACCAGAGAGGCACAAAGCCCAAAGCTACTCAGTCTTGCCAGGGTTTAGTTGAAACTGTTATTTTCCATCTAGTAGATCTTCATAATCTCCAGACATCATAATAGAATATCCACAGCCAATACCCTTTTCAGGTTCTCGCCCTAAAGGTAGCATAGGGACAAAACACTCACCTGACAAATTTGGGGAGGAAAATAATCTTTGCAGCTGTTGGAGAAAAAAGCTTTGCATGATGTATATGTTTGGAGTCCACAGCAGTCTGCCACTACACTGCTATCCCACTCACCCAGCCTCTCCAATAAACCAAGCCCCCGAGTCCTGGTTGGCCTCTACAGAGGGAAAGTCCCATGCCATCATCTGATCCGTGTGATGAGAGATGGCAGCAGCAAAGAAATGAAAATACAATACAGCTCAACAATGGCAACCAGCAGCAGGTCCATGTGCTCCAGCTGTCTCCATCTACTGCCAAGTGTCCCACTGCCCCAGACTCTAATACTCATAGCAAGCCTCAGTGCTTCAGCTGACTTCAACCTCATATAATCTCTGGCTCATTCTTGCATTTGAGTGCCTGCAGTTCCCTGCAGCTCCACCATGAATGGGTGTGGTGGGCATGGCAATACAGTATCTACATCCAGAGAGCAAACACAATCTGCCTGTCTTCAACCAGCCCCCCCACCACCACCAAAAAGCAGAATAAGCCTAACCGAGGTCCAGTCCAAGTCTAAAGTCAAATCCAATCCAAGTAACTGCCCAAAAAATTGCAGATTCATTACTAAAATAGTAATATAAATTGTAATAAATGCCTGTTCATTTCAAAATAAAATTAAGAAATGTTACAGTGTATATATTAGTATTTTAGTTTTTATTTTTGTGTAACGAGATTCTTCTGTATAAATTTATTATATAGTTACAAGTGGCATCCTATATTTTCATTTCTGTGATTAAAGATGCAGTTTCCCTTTTGATTTTGTACATTTCTTATTACACAAAATATATAGATATCTTTGCTTGCAATTCACTGTTTTCTCTGAGTATCTTGAAGCAACAGAATATTTATGAGTGGTCCAATATATATCAGATACATTTATTCTGATGGTCATTTTAACTTACTAAAAAAGATTAATGATGGAACGTAATTGAACGACACATGCAGGGTACTTGCTTTTTGTTATAGCTGAACTTATGCCTCTACCCTTACCTTGTCCTCCTTTAAATGAATGATTAACATTAAGTGAATGTCGCTTTGAAATGAAAAAGATGTACATTCATGTTGTAAATAATGATATGCATGATTTCTTTTTTTTTGTTTGTTGTTGGTTTTGTTTTCTAGGCTATGATGGAACAATCTAAGAAATCATCATTAGTAGTTGCAAGGAGTATTCTTAACAATAAACTTATCAGTAAAAAATTGGAGAGGTATCTAAAGGTTAGCAAACGTTTTTTTCTGAGACTTTCTTTTAGATATACTTTTCCCCCCAGCATACTACTGATGTTTGTATTACATGTGTGCTTATTTTCTCTTCTTGCACTCAAATTCTTTGGTTTTTTTTCTGTATCCAGCTTTTGTTTCTGAGTCCAGATTCTCAGACTTCTATTTCTTAGGTTACATTTTTTATTATTACAGGTTTCACTTTAATAGTGCAACAAGTTCCTTTATTGCTAGTTATTATATTCACCTTTAGCTCCAGTTTTCAGGATTACTGACATTTCAATTTAAATGTACTTGGTATTTCTCAATTGTATTTATTTTCCTCTGAAAATGGATTTTTTTTTAAAATGATACCTCATAAGAATAAAAACTAAAAAATGTACTGGCTAATTAATTTTTATTTATTTATTAAATTTATATGGTTCCCATTTCATTGTGACTGACTCTGGAATGCTCATTAATGGATAGCATATTCTCTCCTTTTGGAAACTTTACCGAACAGCATTATCAAGATGTGCTTTGGTTGGATTGTCATGGTTTCCAAAATAGGTCTATTCAGTTTCATCCTTATCCATTTTTTTTTATTTATGTTCAGACCTCAACTGCAAGGACCATTTCACAAAATAAATCTGGAGAGAATCAGCACTCTGGCAACATTATCAAAATGATTAGAGAAATAATAGAAATGTATAAGGATCCAAATAATTCATACCAGAAAAATAGCAGTTAGTGTCTTACATGGCAGTTAGTGATTGGTTGTAAGCATTCTGCTCCACTAAATACACAGCACATATAAGACTCTGCTACTTATTGCCCAAGTTAAGTTTCAGATCTGCTTTGAAGATATTAGCAGCATGCAAAATGTCAGCACATATTCAAGAGTTTTAGTTTTCCTTTCTTCCAATTCAATATGTATTCCAAATCTGGAGCAGAAACTTTGTTGATCTCTTAAAACAGATCTGTTTGTTGGATGTTCCATTAGTGGAATTATGTCATTTGATTATTTTCAAGTGTCATTTCCATTGCATTAATAAAAATAATACCACAACTATATATTTGTATAAGACATGTCTTTTTGTAATTCTGGGCATTGATAATTTCTGACTAAAATGTCCAAAACTCAGTACAGTGTCGTATTTTGTAGGGCGAGAATCCCTTCACAGATGATCCTGAAGAGAAAGAGGAACATGAAGAAAGTGAGGCAGGAACAAGTGGGATCATTGAGGAAGGAGCAGCTGAAGGTGAAGGAAACCTAAATGAAGAGCAAAGTAAAAGTGATGACAATCCTTCTGAGGAAAATCCAGTGGCTGATGAAAGTGCAGAAAATAAAGGTGATGGAGAAGAACTACAAGGACAAATGGAGGAATGGAATTTGACCACATCTCAAGAAAGTTTTGCTACTGAGCAGAATCCAGAACATGAAGAAAAAGAAAAAACAGAAGAAACACAAGACATTGTACCTTCAGAGAAGATGGAACCACCTGATGAGTGAACTTGCAAAGAAGGTTGAATCATTTTGAGACTCTGCATTAAATCTTCTAAAACCATACCTGTATTTGTGACACACCATGGCACGTGGCTTTTGGTTCTCATTGACCTCACTTTCACCTAGTTAACAACCTTTATTTGTAAAGTGTTTTTGAAAATAGCTTTTTTAACCAACTTTTCATTGTATTAGCTAGATTTTGTGCAGTACAATTTTTAAGTGGCTTTGTACTAGGGAAGTATACTTTTTTTAGTAAATAATCAAAATCAAATTTTGTCAATTGGCTTATACCATGCTAAACCTTGAAAGGATAAATAACCTCTAAATTTTCCCATTTACTTTTGTATATAGTTGAAAATGTTTTAGTTCCATAGCTAGTCTCGTCTGAAAATGTCAGTAGCAGAATTCTGGGTTTTAAATTCTGCATGATTGGAATATCTTCCATGCAAGTGTAGCATTCTTCTATCTTTTTACTTTTAATATTCAAAAAAGACTTTGGTCAGCACAATAATTTTGCAGTGCTTTTATTTAAGAGGGAACATTTGCAACAGTGGGTTATAAAACACTATTAGGGCTATATGTGTAAGTTTCTGACAGAAGCAGAAACCTTGTTATTGTGCAGAAAGCCTCAAGGAGAAATAAATGCATTCTGGCACTTTCCAAAAATTTAATTTATATTGTTCTGTTTGAAATCAGGAGGATTTCTTAGTTTCTGCTTATTTTAGATGGATGTTCTGAAAATGAAGTCTATAGCAGCCCAACAAAAATCTACTGATGAAGAGTGTTACAAAACATTAAATATTCCCTTCAAAGCAGGTCTTCCAGTTGTCTCATTTTAAATCCTCCAAATCACCTCTGCTGCATTTGCCAGAATATAGTATTGCTTCATTGTTTCTTTGTTTATTAAGAATTTCAGGCATTAATGCTATTAGTTTAACCCTTGCTGCTACCCCAGTTTCCAAGCAATAAGTGATACAGATACTGATATTCTTGTTCATGCTCAATTTATTATCCTTTCATTTCTCTTTATGTACATGCCTTCTTCCTATAGTGGAGATCAAGCAATGGAACCTGAAAATATTCAATGGACATATTTTTCTGGAAACCTACATTAGCAAAGACAAGGGTGAGTGAAGGAATCATTACACACTGGGTGGAGGTCTTTCTGCCTTATTATACTACTACTTCCTTAAGACTCAAGCAGCAAATAGCTGCTGGAGAAACATGTAAAAATAAGTTTTGTGAGAAAAAGCATTTAGTAATGTATCGAATTGACAGAAACTGAAACATTGACAAAGTTTCAATGTATTGCTTATTCTTAATGTATAATGACTCAAATGTTCATAGTGGTAGCTTTGTCTTGTACTCAATCGAATTGTAGATAATAAATTTTTTGAATGTCGGGAGTACTGAAATTCCAATATAAACTTGTATTTATACATATGGATTGGTATCTTAAAAGGTATTAGTGGTTGGGCTGAACAAGGAATACAAAATTTACAAAACAGCATTGAGGTATTAGTTTTCAGGAAATAACTGACAGAGACATGTTGCCAATACAGAACTTCAGTAAATCTTCCATCTTCTTTCAACATTTGGGCTCATACATGCCAGTGGTATGTTTTTGCAAAATGATATTAGGTGCTATGAGAATTTTCTTTACATCAGTCTGAACGTTTATCAAGCCACATGTTAATTCCAAATAAATAGCATTTACCATTACCTGAGAACAGGGCTGTCAAACTCGCAGCCCGTGGGCCAGATGAGTCACATGTTGACCATGCCCATGCCCAGTTTAACAAAGGGGGGAAAAGTTGTGATACGACATGTGATGCCCTGCATTTGACACCCCTGTTTTAGAGTAACTCAAATGCATTATTTCTTGGATTATTAGTCAATTTGTAAGCAAATTTACTCATAGACTGAGTAATTATACTTGGGATTCAGCCTTACTAAAACAAATCTATATTTTCATATAATTTTAAAACCAGGGGTGTTCTTTTTTATTATATTTTTATCCTGCCATTTATATATATAAAACTCAAAGGGGAAAACTAATTCTCCTGCCTCCTGTTTTCCTCACAACAATCACCTATGATGTGGGTTGTTCTGAGAGAGTGAGTGATTCATTCAGCCACTTTTCATGCCTAGCAGGCCTGGAACTCTCAAATCTCCTTGGTTTCTGATCCAGCACCTTCCCCGCTGCACCATACTGGCTTTTCAGCTTCTCTCTCTCTGGATTGGGATATTTGTACAGGGTAGTATGCACTGATGAAGGATGCTAACTTTTTCCCAGAATCTGATACTTTCTTCCTTTGACCCTGTTCTCTCCACCTCCTCTCTCCCCCCCTTCCAATATACTCCAGCTGGGACATAAATCTTGGAGAGGAAACCCCTCCTGTTTGAAATAAGGTACTACTAGATGGGAAGCAATCTTGAATAGAATTAATGAGGTTGGGAATTAACCAATTACTTTGTAGAGCCTCATCTGAAAATGATGCTTTGATACTCCAGCTACATATTACTAACATAATATGGCGATTACCCAGTTTTTCTGCCTAAGACCATTTTGAAAATTTGAATCTGTATACTTGAAAGAAAATGCTACTATAGTTACTGATTTTATTCCAAATTATATAGGCAGATGACTGCAACTATGTTTATTCAATTAAATAGATATTCAGGAATTTCCTGAATATATATGTACAGGATCTGGCCATGGGTCAGCCATTGGTTTCCACATTGCATTTTGAGTTAAGCCCTTTTTCTTTCATGTAGGAGTAGCTATTTAAGGTATCTATAATTGTTTCCTACATTGCAATCTGGAAAGTTCAAAAGCACATTTCTAAACCGTTGTACTCAAAGTTAAGAAATTATTGAGTTGTTATATGTATGTACTGTTGCAAAACTGGTATTATTATAGGAGAATCAAAGAAATAGTCTGTCCTATTACAGTTTCCAAATTCTTGTAGTCTAATGGAAACTTCCATTTTTCAATGTAACCTGCCCCCTAAAATCTTTTGCTTGTTCATCTAATTTGTCCAGAAAGTTGGAAATATTCTTCAACACAATTTGAGGTCATATAAAAAAAAAACTTAAAGGTGGAAGAGAACAGTAATAGCCCAACTTTATAAACTAATATATGCTTTTATTTGTTCATGGTTTTCTTAACTTCAAAGGAGATATTACAATAACCAGTTTGTTTTGCTTGCTGTCTATGACTGAAATGGTAGAATAATTTTCTTTTATGCGCTTTTCATATTCACATAAGAATTTCAATTCATATTGGTGTAAAGTGTTGATGTTCTTCAACTATTAGATTCTGAATGAAAAAAATATATAATAGGAAAATATTTGTAATACCTTTTTCCTGTGAATTACAGAGTATATATTGTAATTAGCTGTCACTGAACAAACAGCTCAAGTTTTAAAGATGTTTTTATCTCAGAAAGTGTTTTCCTATGATACAAGTGGCTTAGGAAAAGGCTTTAAAATTTTATCTTCCAAGAAAACTGGAGGGGGGAGAATAACAAGCTTTGGGGATTTAATCAAAATGTTCTTTTGTTATTAAACAGGCAAGGTAAAAATGATTTTAAAAATACCATTCTGCTTGTGGATTTTTCACCCACAAGCAGAACAGGATTTGCAAAAGAACGCACCCATTCTTTTGCAATATTATAGTTAATGTTAAAATTATTTTGCCTGTGTTATTTTAATTTAGCCTGACTGACAACTGTAGGAAAACACCTGAGAAATTGATGGATTGAATATTTGAGAAGAGATTAAAAAGATCATACCTCTGGAATTGGTCCAAGAAAAATAGAAACCAAAATATAAGTCATACTAGAGCAGCAAGATAGATTACAGAGTCAGGAGAAAGATTTGGCTGTTCTACTTTTGTAGGAATAGATTGGTAGGCATAAGAAAGGGTTTATAGTGGCATAGTTGACTGGTGGAGCAGCAGTTCTCCAGAAGATCAGGTGTTCTCCTAGACCAGATAACCAAGAGACTGTTTTTGTCTCTAGTTCCAACTGTTTAAAAATTATTCATTGTATAAATGTACCGTCCTTAATCCTATTTCCATATAACACATACTATAATTTTTATCTCTGCATAAGAGAAGAATGCCAGCATCAATGCCTTTCTTTATAAACAATATATATTCTTACGTTATAAAGAGTTACATAGAATAATTTCATCTCATCTTCTGTCACTGCTGCAACACAAGTTTCTCTTCTGCTTGTCTGTGTTCCTGTATGAAATACTAAATTTGCACCTCAATTGTTTTTAAAACTGTATTTTTCATGAACAACAATGTTCTCTCTGTATAAACATTTTTAAATCAAGTTAAACTTAACTTCTAGTGACTGCATTTTGGCAGTTTCCTTGGCAGCATTATGGAAGTGATTTGATACTACCACCTTATAATACATTTTTATGCCATCTCAGTCTAGTGAGTCAGACATTCTTCCATTCAAATATTAACCAGGTTTAATCCTGCTTTGCTTTTCAAATCAGTAAAGGGTTGATGGGACCACCTGCTCAGATTTTATTGTTTAAAAAGACAAAGGCACATCAAGATAGCCAAGTACTTTCCTTCAGTCTATGATCATTTTTTTATTATTATTACAGGCTTCAGCTTTAATAGTGCAACGTATTCCTTTATTGCTAGCAATTTGTGCTCCTCTTGTCTGTTCTACTTCAATAATTAACTTGGCAAGTGCTGTCCTTATTGCTTTAATGTAGGACAAGTTAAGAAAAACTTGATTTGTCCCACCTACATTAACTTTTGGCGGTGGCTGCTTCTGACTTGACATTCCCTCCCATTTAATGTCACCTTAAAGGGAAAATAGCCACCAATTTGAGGTGTGCTTGGTACTCTCTGACCTTGCTTGTTTTCTTGCAGAGGTTTCATTACCCAAACTAGATAATATCATCCCTTCTAGTAAGGAGTGCAGTTTGCTGTCAGTTTATATTCTAGTGATTTGCCTATCAGTGTTGGTGGGGATGGTCTTAGAGATTCTTTGGTTGGGCTGTTTGCTTCTTTGGCAGTTTCTTGATTGGGATATTGTTTACTTGATTGGGATATTGTTTACTTGATTGTTGGCCTGATGTTGGAGAAGTGCTTGGGTCTTTTGTTCCTTTTTGGGCTGGGTGATAGTCTCTTTTGCATAGTCTATAGATGTTGGTGTCTATGTGTCTATTGGTGGTTGATTTGTCACAGTGCCAGGCTTCTAGGAATTCCCTGGAGACAACCAACCAAAAAGGGAACAAAATGACCCAAGCACTTCTCCAGCAGCTATCAGCACCTAGAGTAGCATGGATTAACTCCAAGGTTAACATCCAATCAAATAAACAATACTCCAATCAAGAAACTGCAGAAAAAGCCAACAGCAAACAGCCCAACCAAAGAATCTCTAAGACTATGCCCCACCAACACTGACAGGGCAAGCCACTTGACTAGAATATAAACTGACTGCAAAGGTGCACTCCTTACTATCACTGATGATGTTGCCTAGCTTGGATAATGAAATCTCTGCAAGAAAACAAGCAAGCTCAGAGAGCACCAAGGACACTTCATGTCAACCCTGAGCTACAAATATTCTCCTTTATTAGAACCACTAATTTCTCTCATTAATGACTGACAGATGGATGTAGTAGCTGCTTGGGATGCCTGATTAATGGTAGTCACCAAGTTGACTAATAAACTGCACATGCCAAGCTGTTCTGTTCCTGTTTCCTTTCAGTGAGGTTCTTTTTGATCAGAACTGTAATCCTCTTCTATAAATACTACACTTGTGTCCCAAAATAACCTGGCAGATAACATTACAGTCACAAGAGTGGCATAGAATAAAGCAGGAGGGACAGTTAAAGATTGAGCTCTGTCCTCAACTACTGCTGCAGAGGAATGATAGTGCTAGCAGTGAATGGATGTGGCTGACAGCATCTGGAGGTAGTCTGTTGAATAGGTAATGTAACCCTGCACATAAATAACAAACAATAAAAACCTACACAAAACCTTTTGTTAGAAGCAGTGGAAAATCTGTAATACATTCATTGGTGATACAACCAACAATATCAACAAACCCTTGTTTAAACTTATCATAAATGCAACATAGGACTGTTACTCTTTCAAGGTAAAAGTTGTTTTATTTGGAAACAAATATAAATGTAGTACTCTTTCAGAGCTGTTATTGGAAGTAAAATATGGTCTGGTTTTCTCATTCCAATCTGGAAGAAATGAATTGGAGGCAGGCTGCATTTAGAAAGGTGGTTTCCATTTATTTGGTAGCCAGAAACAACAGCATGTTTCTGGGTGGCTGACAAATTTGGATTGAGAGTAGATGGGCTTTTATACAATTTGGGGGGCTTTGTAATTGAGATGCCTGTTCCTGTGCAAGAATATGTCCTTTAATGGCAGTTGCCAGATTCCTATAGGGTCATGTAGGGGTTGTGACTGGCTCTACATGCAAAAGGGGAAAAACAAATCCTAGGTGTTTTGTCTGAGCTAATTTTGTCAGTTTCAGTTCCTTGCCTATGATGCTGCTTATTTGGAGCTGCTGGCTGCCCTTTGTTTAAGAATAGAAATAGAAAATACCCATTCATAAAGTCTAGCCTCTTGAGGCTTCTACTTGAGGCTGTTTTCCTATAGCAGAGAGATGGGCTGCTTTCTGCCTTTGTTATGAGATTTTTCTCCTCTTCTCCTTTAGGAGAAATATTCTATTCTGCCTCTTTTAATATTCTGTAGAATATTTTATTCTGGGTAGGGGGCTCTTCCCACACTATTAAACCCTTGTTCTAAGTGACCATGAGCAAAGGCCGTTTGGGTCAGGAATGGGCATTGGTTCACAAGATGAATTTTTACAAAGCCTCCCCGGCCACGGCTGCCACCTGCTGCTTCAGCAGGAACCATGAGTCCAGGAGGATTCCCAAATCAGAACTGTATATCAGAACTGTGTGAGGTCATGTTACCCCATCCAGAGTCAGAGATGTCAATTCTCTTCAAACTAACCCAAAATGCAAAAGCCACTCCATCTTGCTCAGTTTGAGTCACAACCAGTTTCTCTTCACCCAAGCCTTTACAGCACCTGAACAGCATCACTTCATCTGCATGGAGTAAATAAATTGGGCATTATCAGCTTACCAAACTTACCACCAGATGTCCTCTCCCAACAGCTCCATTGAGATGTTGAATAGGAGGCGAGAAAGATCTAAGTCTTGAGGCACCCCCGCACAACTAGCATTGGCCACAGAGAAAGGCCAACAGAATGGTGCCTCCCAATCCTTAGAGCCTGACCAACAAGATTTATTATATTTTATACCAATAGCGTCAGTGACAATCTTTTACGATGTTAAAGCACTAGTTACCTCACCAGTTGATAAACTACATTTAGTGACAGATGGAGACAAAACTGTTTTCAAATTTTGTATTGTAGATACTGTACATGTACTTTTTACAAAGCTTGCACATTCACTGATGTGTCTCATGAGAACTTCTTGCCCGGCATTTTGGAGAGCCATTGCTAGTCAGTTTGAACAAAACTAGAGGAGGATTGACCAATAGTTGTACACACTATAAGGCATCTTCCATGAATAACAAAGTTAATAAGATGCTTCTCTAACCATGTAAGTGAAATGGGCAGAAAGTAGTTTCAAAAATCAGCACCCACATCCAAGCCATTTCCTACTGCAGCTCAACATGATGATGATGGGGGGGGGGGGAGTGTCAAATAGTTGAGCTACATAGAAATTTATTTAGAAAAAGGCTGGGATCACCTGACATTTCCTCATCCTATTTTCTGCACTATATCCTGAACCATAAACTCCATTGCAAAGAACATGTTCGCGGAATTCCTTTCAAATGTAGTGCAGTAGTAGCGCCAGCATGGTGAACAGAGACGAAAAATAAAAATAAAAATTACAAATGCATTTCAAATCGGATCCACCAAACCAGGAAAGGGTTAGAGCAGGGGTCCCCAAAGTTGGCAACTCTAAGACTTGTGGACTTCACAAGTCTTAAAGTTGTCAACTTTGGAGACCTGGATTAGGGAAAGTACTGACGGGCCAAATAACGGAAGCCTTTTTATAAGAGTTCATTGGTCCAAACTCCCAGCAATACAAAAAGGCACGTGGGCTTCACTCAGAGAAATGTCAGCCTGCCCTTCGCCCCGCCCCTCCAAGCAAAAGACTGGATCTAAAGCAGAGGTCTCCAACCTTGGCAACTTTAAGACCGAGGAATTCTGGGAGTTGAAGTCCACAGGTCTTAAAGTTGCCAAGGTTGGAGACCTCTGATCTAAAGGTTCTTTTCAGACAAAGCTCAAGCCGCCAAATTATCTACGGCGTCCTTCATTATTCGCAAGTAATAAAAACGAACCTCAGCCCACCCGGCTTCGTTTGCTGTTTAGTCCTCTGAACGCTTATAAGCACCAGCCGCCTCTCCTTACTGGAAGAATAAACGGACAGAAATGGGAACCGGAAATCTCTCTAGCAGCACAAACCGTTTTAGCTGCAAATAAGGAAAGTTCTCCGGGCGTCGGAAGGCGTAGAACGTAGATGTCCAGCGACAGGCAAGCTAACGAACGGCCCAATGGGAACGACCTTCATACGGAGAGGCGGGAGCAACAGACCCTCTTCGGTTTAAACGTCCGGCCAATCGAACTTCAGGAATAGAGGCAGAAGCCAATCTGTGGCGACATATGGCGCTCGCGCACTCGGGTGGTGGGTAGCTGTCCGTGGTGGGGAAGAGGTCGCCAAGCGAAGCCATGGATCAAAGTTACGGTGAGTCCTGCCGATGGATGCTCCGGCGAGTGTAAGGAGAGCTTCGGGCTTTAACAGAACCGGTTTCTCTTCTCAATTACGTAGTACCAGTTGCGAGTCGCGCAGCCCTCGGTGTCGGTGCCTTCTTTCTCGGAGAGGCGCCGGCAGCGGTGATTGGACCTTGCGCTTGTCCCTCACCCAGGTTCCGCTTGGTGACCGGAGTGCTATTTGGCCAGCGAGGCAGGCGGTTCGAGTTTACCTTTACCCCCCACCGCCCCCCCACCTTCGCGGTACCGAGCGAGAAAGGAGGACCGAAGTCCTATTTCTAAAGACGACACAAAATGGCGTGGAGGAAGTCCTGCTCGCGATAACGCTCTCTTCCTGCCTGCCTGTCGCGGAGGTCGATGCCTTCCAGTTTGTAAACAGTGACTCGTGGGTCTTGCCTGTCCGCCGACGGCGCTTCTGGCTGGAAGAGAAGCGGACCAGTCAATCGGTTGAAAAGCTCATTCTGGCCCGCGTTGTATTTCCACAGCCAGCCCCCTCCCCCTCAATTGACAGGCGGGAGCAGATTACGAGGGACGTAATCGCCCCCCCCCCTTCACACGTCCCTTACAACCCTCATCGCAGTGTGTTACGGATTGCCAACATGCCCATTAAGAGTGTCAATAGGCCATCATCTGCTTTCTTACCTATCTCAGGATACAGAATAACAACAGCTGGAAGGGATCTTGGAGGTCTTCTAGTCCAACCCACCTGCTCAGGCAGGAAACCCTATCCCATTTAAGACAAATGGTTGTCCAACCTTTTCTTAAAAACTTCCACTGTTGGAGCATTCACAACTTCTGGAGGCAAGTTGTTCCCCTGATTAATTGTTCTCACTGTCAGGAAGAACAAACTTGCCTAGCCACCTCGTTTTTTTCCCCGTCAGGTCTCCATGACGATGTCTTCCATCTTGTCCCAGTCCTAAGTGCTAAAGTAGTGTTTGGGGGCTTGTTTTCACACACTCCAGAATAGACCCAAGGAGTGTAAAATCGGTTTTGCGGTTCATCATTTTGGAATTCAGGCAAAATAGGATGAAGGGAAACAATACATTTTATGCTTACGTGTAGTTGTTTGCCAGTTCAAGGGTGAATAAATAAATACTAGAGTACTTCAACTGAGCAGTGGGGAAAACCCAGGGTCTGAGGGCTCTGTGACATTTATAATGGTAGCAAGTGATATATTGACTTTATTGGTGGCACCAGGCACTCGCAAATTTGGCCAGCTACATTGAAGCTTAGCGAGTTGACTGAACTCAACTTATGTGATTATGTTATGGTACAGTGCATTTTGTCAAACTAGAAAATTGTTTGTTATGAGTATTGTGTGGATATATTGCCTATTTGGTTTAAAATGCCAGGGTGTTTATTAAAATGTTTTATTTGTAAACAGTATAGCTGTTTAGAGAGGGAGGAGGATAATACACCAAGGGGAAAAAAGGGAATACCTTTTTAATGTAACTTAGAAATATCTGTGTACATTATTGCTTTTCTTTAATTGTATCCAGAGGCTAAGATCAGAGGAGATTCAGCTTTATTAAGTCATCTTTCATTCTGTCAAAAGTGTTTTCAGATCTTGTAGATGTAGTAGTACTGAAAATAAAACAGGTAGCATGAATATAGAAGCAATGATACTTCCTATGAAACGGAATAACTAGATATTTCAATACTCATGGAAGTTTTGAATGCTAAACTTAATCCCCCTATAAAGTGGAATCTTAAAAACAAATAAAATGGGGTTTAGTGTAGAAATCATTATACCATAATAATCCTGATTGGTATCCAAGGCAACAGCAAGTACCTGGGTCCCTGCCAGATGCTTGTACTATAGCTTCCACAAACTTCTTGCCAGTTGTGATGCTAGCTGAATATTGAAATCCAAGATGCCAGGCATTATGTGTTATAAGAGACTATATGATACTACATAATGACTGAAAGGGTTTAGGATCCTATGTAAAAAAATCGGAACTCTCAATCTTGCTGCTGTTTCCATTTCTTTATTACATAACAATTTTAATGATGTTCTTTTGCAACAATTAACATAGTTATACCAGAGAATGCAACAAATACATGTGTATTCACACTGTGTATATATGATGGAATTCACATTTTTGAATTGCCCATATTTTTCAGAGAGGCACTCGAGACAGTATATAATAAAATGTTAAAATATAAAAAAAGCATACAAGACTTTAAAATTTAAAAAAAAAAAAAAATTAAAAGCAGACAAGAATGATTGAACTGTTGAAAATTAGTTAAAAAGGTAAAAGGAGGGAAGGTTCTCAGGGTGCCAACTCTCTGGGCTTCCTGCATGGGGCTGCAGAGCCATGTTTTAATCTTTTTCAAAAGACCAAGGGAGGGTTGCTACCTCTCATATATTTGCACGCTATCTCATATATACCCGCTATCTCTCTCCGGGAATTCTAGTTCCACCATGGGCGCAAAGCCAGCTAGGTGGTCTTGGCTAATCACTTTTTCTTAGCCCTAGGAAAGGGGCAGTGTTAAACCACTTTTGGAATACTTTACCAAGAAAACTGCAGGGATTTGTCTCAGCAGTCTCTGAGAATAGGACACGGTTGCTTGCTAGTTTAATGTTCTGAAGTACTTTAATGAGAACATGTTAAAAGAGTACACCTATAAAAGTAGTAATATTTATAGTAATGTTTATAACTATTTGCATTTTGAATACATATAGGAATCAGTTATATTAATTTCTCAGAAGAAATTGATTTATTTTTTTATAGAAAATGTCAGTGTCACAATTCTATTCCAATTTTATTTAGTATATTGCCTTGATTTGTGTTACATAAAGTACATAATCCAATAGAAGAGAATATATTTAGCTCAGGGATGAACTTTGGAGTGCTTGATGCTCTTTGATTTTGGTCCTTTGCTTACAAACATTTCATTACCCAATTAAGTAACATCATCAGTGCTAGTGAGTATCAGATTTGTTCCCTGTTTATATAAAGTAGCCTGCTCTACTAGTGATAGTGGTGATGTGGTTTTCTTTTTGGTAATTCCTTGATTAGTGTTTTGACAATAAAATAAAAACAATTGTATGGGCAAGAAAATAATAAAGCTAAGAAGGAAACAAAACCCCATCATCTGTAGCAACCAACATTCAGATAAGTGGCAGGCAGGCAGACAGACAGAAAACAATACCTAATGAAGGAACTATCAAGGAGAAAACAACAGCCCTCCCAATGCAGGCAGGGAAAACTATTGTACATAAACAGAGAGTAAAGCCACATTGCAAGTATTACCTAGTCAGGTAATGAAATATCTGGAAGCAAACAACCAACAACTACAGAAAGTACGTAATGTTAGCTTTATATGTTCAAGCATTTCCTTCCTGAAATATTCATTTAGTATAAAATGAATTGTTTATTTTGTTTCCTTTCAGAGGGGTTTTTGGTACTTTTCATAAGAAACCTTGGTTCCAGATAAGGATTTGTTTCTCTGTATTGTATGATATGAAACTAAATTATTTTTAAGTAAAATCTTCCATATTTCAGTATTCTTAGTTTGCACATTTGAAAGAGTTGAATTCAGATAATCCTTAATTCCTACTAATCATTCGGGAAGCATGACTGGTTAATAAGAGTTTGCTTAAGAAGATTTTATAGACCATGTATAATGTTGCTTTCAGAATTAGTTACGGAGAATAGAACAAAATGTAAGTCATTGTGTATAACCTTGGCATTTGGCCTGATTTCCTATTTTATTGGTAGCAATGGAAAACACACAACTTCACAATGGTTTGATTCCTATCAGATACACAAAATGTATTGAAGATAAACCTCTGAATGAATACAGAAGATACAGAGCAAATCTTTAGAAATATATTGTGGAGTTTTAAAATTTATTAATATATTAACTTTTCTTTTACAGGTTATAGTTCTTGGGGTACTGACAACACCAATACTCATGGTAAGAAAATAAATATAGCTACACTGATAAGTTGATTATAATCATGACTATTTTAAACCTGAGTCACAAAATATATTAAATATATCATATTAAGAGCATGAATTTTCAATAGCAGAATATTTTGAGAGTAATTTCAAAGTATATTGAAATATATTGAGAGTAATTTTCTTTTGGGCTTATTAGATTAAATATAGTTCATGTCAGTTTTCTATCATGCAAATTTCTATCAGAATTTATATAAATTAGAGCTTTGATTTTATGTAAAATAAAAATATTCAGCTCCTTCTTGACATAAATCATTTAATATCCTTTGTATAGGAAGATTTTGGAATCACTTGTTTCACTAATTTTAATAAAGCTAGTGTTAATTTCTGATTTGTCTAATATATAATATTAATGCTAAATTTTTGCCATGGTATACAATAAAGAATAACTTCATACTTATTTGAATGTGCATTTTCCAAGCTGCTCCCACTGCAAGAAAGAAAGCCCATTTGATCAGGTTGCTTGAAGGGGTTTCAGAAAGCATATGGGGTAGTCCCTAAAACTGTGGTCTTCGGTTTCACCAAGATTTTAGCCACTGCTTGAAATTAGGAAGCAGCCATCTTAGACCAGAGTTCCCCAACCTTTTTGGCTTTGTGAACCAGCAGGATGGCGTAGGGGATGGTTCTGTGCAAGTGGCCGGCCAAGCGTGTGCAGCTTCATTTGCACAAGCAGTGTGCATGCACGCAGGGGTGGGTTTCTACCAGTTTTGTCCACCTCTGTA